GGAGATGGACGTGAGCATTTGCGGTGCCGAGCGGACTTTTGTCTTTTTGTCGAAAAATTAGGGAGGTTCGGCGCCTGCGAGACTCCGGGTAGGCCATCCCGCAATACACGCAAGCTCTACAAGCAAGATGTTGCCTACCTATAAGGCGCTATGAGACCGCTGAACTTGGCAATTTCGCCCCCCCCTCCCCCCATACCGCTCCCGGCACTTAGGAAAGTGACCCACCCATCGCAGATCCGAGAGCCGTGGCACACTACAGCCGATCCACAGCGTGGCGCGAAACAAGACTTGTTCAAAAATAAGATTATTTACTTATGTTAGTGAAATCGCGTAGGCACTTCAATTGCCCTCCTGACGGTATCTGTACCTGATTTAGCTCTTATTTCAACAACTGCCACTAAATGAAATAACATAATGTAATTAACTACTTTACTCATTTTATTTACCAAAATAGATAAATTAGGTTCGGACAAACGAGCTTCGGCTAATCGGGGCGCCCCCGTAGAAATGACATCAAAAAACTTGGTTTTATAAAAAAAATATTGACAAGACAGCTACAGGGTAGGAAGGTTCTTGTTTCCCAACTGACAGAAACAAAACATTGTCATCTCAACTTAACATTTATAGAGAGCTTGCAGCTGACAATTGAATTATAAATGTACAATTCCCTATTGTGGGGTTATCTCTGTAAACATTTGCTAACTTTAAAATTTACACAATGTTTTTTATCCTGCAATTTGATTACTTTAAAAAAATATACTTCAAATATCAATAATGGGACGGTATCAAAATTTCTAACACAAATGATAATGATTCAGTAAATCAAGTCTCTTCTTCAGTCCATCATATACATATTGCACAGGAGTGTTAACCACTTACTCACTTTAATCCAAAAATCTAGAAATAGGGAAGGCTTATGTATGATGAGTTGTTGAAACCAACGTACCAGCACTTTCAAAGATAAAGCAAATGGTAGCTGTGCTATGGAAAATAAAAGCCTTGTCTCTAACAAATCTTAAAACAAAAAAAGCTGAAGGCTTGAACTTCCAACAATTACAGGGTTGGCCTAGAAAGCACTAAACCAGTCTACATATGACATATATGTATATGAGATGAGAAAATAGTGCAAATTTTAAATAACACAAAAATAATAGCATGACACTTCAAGTGAATATACAATCAAACGACAAAAAAGCAATAGGCTGCGCAATTGGCACAGACATGTAAAGAACATAAATCGGCAACATCAGCTTTTTCTTTAGATGATACAACTGAAAAAGCATTGTGCACGCAACTTATGAAATAGTAATAATGACATTGTTTTCAAAAGAAAAGAACAATAAAATTGACATGACTAGAAAATATTTCAAATGGAAGTGATATTTAAGCCACTAAGAGCACCAAGATTTACAAAAAAAAACAAGTTTCTTTCAAATGTGATGTTATCAAGTACATAGTGCAAAAAATATATACTTCAATAGTTCCTTGGAAAAAAAAATTAATAGAATGAAGACAAGATATAAAAGAGTATACAAAAAAATGGAGAAAAGAATGTTAACATCTTCAAGATAACACCATAGATCAGAAACTGAAGTAATAATTCAGTTCCTGCACGAACATAAATGATATGAGTAACTTCATTCAGCCTCACAAAAGTGATGATGATTGGTCAAACAAGGACATAGAAATAAAAAAATAAACAAGTGCTATTAATAAAATATTTACAACAGTCCAAAAGGACACCATGCAAAGGAGGAGTACACAGTAGTTCTGTGTCAAGAAAACAGGGCTCAATTACTCTAGGTGGATATACAATTCCAGTGAAAATCAAACCTTTCCTCCAAAAATGGTAAGTGCCTAGCATAACAGACAACATTGACACAGTAAATAAAAATGTTGTTTGGAGCAAATTCATTAAAACTTCATCATAATTCACAAAACTTACAGCACTATATCAATATGAAATAAAATTCTTAACTATTTGATAAGAAATACAACAATAAAAACATAAATTGATTGGTCCACATTTCAAGAGGTGTGCTGCAAAAATTCAGCTGATTCTTGTCTGACTCAAGGAGTCTGTTACTCCTTCTATGGCTGATGGACTACTACTGCTTCCAACTCTTTGAGTTGAACTGACATGGTTTTCTTCACTGTAAATAAAAATGGCAAAAGAATTATCTTTTTTGAAAGGAAGACATCATTCCAACTTTCCCCACCACTTCACCCAATCTCGCTCCACACACAAAAATATAGATAAACAAAACAAATATGTTTTTACATACCTTTCATCAACATTTTCGAAAGGATTGGACGATCTTGATGGACCAGGCATTGAGCGTGGACGAATATTTTCAGTTGGCCGCTGATGACTTCTACTTCCTGTGGAGTCAGATCTTCGGAAAGACGTGCGAAAGAAAAATCCTCTACGTCTGGGTCTATTATTGGAATTGGATGAGGTTGAAGGCTGAGCTCTTGGATCTGAAGTACTGCTTACAGCACTACTTGAGAGTGCATTTGAGCTCCTCCTATGTTCACTACTTCCACCATCAGTCACATCATAACTTGTACTTGGGCCTACATAGTAAGAGCGTTGTGTTCCACCTGGCCTAAAAGATGGATTGTAAGGTGGACAAATAGAATAAGGTGGTGGAGGGTCCTCTGGTTGAGGTGCACAGGGTACAAAATTATGTGTCCTTCGCCGATACTGATGAACATCTTCTTTAGCCCGAGTAACTGCTTGTTTAGATGCCTCATACCCTGAAATACCGTTAATAATTAGTTATAATAGTTAAAGAAAAATAATCTACTCATGCACTCAGTCAAATAAATTATTACTGTAATTATTAACCTGTGTATCTGATGTTTTGTAAATCCTCCCCATCAACATCAGGTAATTGTTGGACAACATCACCATATGCCTCAAAAATTACTTTGCATTTGTTTGCTAGCTCTACATATGTGTCTGAGAGCTTTAGAAGGCTTCCTTTAACGCGAATCATCTTGACTACCTCATTTTCACGAACACGATCATCCACTACAACAAATCAAAATAAAATTTATTCCAACACACTTCTCTAAAAAATCTTTCAAAATTTAAAATAAAAAAATTATAACATACCCTCTAATTGAGCAACTTCCTTGGCACGTGCAGCCTCACACAATCGTTTCTCCAAGTCTTCCATTTCTAAAGCTGAGCATTTCCTTGCTTTCTTCACCTCCTTTTTCAGTTTGCCTTCTCTTTGATCACATAGTTCCACTGCTGCCCTGGCTTGGTCAACATGTTTCTCTCCTTCCAAAATTAAGTCAAATTGAGATTTAAATTCTTTAAGATGCTCTGAAAAA